CTAAATCTTCAAATTGATATTTCACTGAGAAATCTTTAACCATTATTCTGTGAGCCCGCGCTGCATACGAGGTGACAAATAAAATACAATGAAACCTTACAGCTGTACTAACTATGCTCTACTTTCTTACTTCTGCAAACAGATTTCTAGTGGCTAGAGTCAAGAGGTAACATTTGACGTGCTGTCTTGCTATGGATGAAGTAATTCTTGGCACAGGAAGCAGCAGATGTGACCCAGGACACCCAGGGAGTTTTCAAGAAACGGCAGACACAATATTATTTTTTTTGCGAGAAGGCAAAAGACTGGAAATGTAACCAGCAGTGCACGAGGAATGATAGCTACCCGGTCCTAGCCTACAGCTGTCTGCGCAACAGACGAAAACCCAAGTCATAAGAGTGCAAATGAAACTGTTGACCATTCCTTCAAAGAAGAACTGAAATTACTTTTCCTTTGGGACAAAAAACTATTGGATTGATAGTTATCTTTAAACAATCAAACAGGATACTGTCTGGTCTGTCTTGTTCGTCGAAGAAAGGACAAAAGGTCTAGCCGACAGTTTTTAAACTACAGTCGGACCTCCCGTAAGCGACCACCTAAAATGTCAAGCCTTGGTGGTCGCTTACGGGAGGTTGTCGCTTACGAGAGCTTAGACCATATTGGGTCATAATTTTGCCTCATTAGCATATGGCAACTGCAGAGACTTGCCCCATGCTTACCCCATTCATGTAAAAAGTCAATTTCGAGAAAAAATCCGGTACTTCCCATTGAAAAAATTTCCGTCTCTTATACTACCCAGGAATGCGATGTTACCCCACGTTATTATCAATTTCCGCTCTATTATCGAGCCTTTATCTGTCAAGTGGTCGCTCACGGAGGTGACAGAAGAAAATTTCAAACTTTAAGCTCTAAAAAGTGGTCGCAGTCGCTTACGAGAGGTGGTCGCTTACAAGAGGTTCCAGATATAGTGATTTGACTTTAAAAAATTAATGCGGGGCTGGGGTTAACGCGAAGGCCCGTTTTTTGGCTGGGTATTATGGTTTTAACGCAAATATCTCGTTCACGTTTCAAGCAGTCAAAAATCTCACTGCTCATCCCGCATATCTACGTTTTGGACTGTTTTGTAGATTTTTGGGTATATTTGGGGATATATAGTTTTCATCAAAGGATTAGTGAAATTTATGGAAATAGGAAATTTTGAAGATTTGATTTTGTTTTAAAATTAGAATTTGAAGTTAAAAATTGGTAGACGTACACCAAACAGTTGTCCACCAACCTGGGGCGCCCTTTCGGGGGACGTTCAACTTTCTGGTGGTGTTCCAAAACCTTTTTTCCTTTTAATCCCTCTTTAGACTACCTAAACACGATCAAACAGCTCCAAACCAGGTGGCCACCTGGTTTGGAGCTGTTTGATCGTGTTTGATCGTGCTTGGTCATGTTTGAAAAAATTTGAAGGCCATCAAACATTCGATCAAGCAACTTAAAACATCTCTTTTGTTCTCGTGTTTGATGGGCGATGTTTTGTTCGTTTGGAAAGCCGTATCAAACATGTTTGGCGCGCGCATGCGTCCCACGCTTGCTCAGAGGCTTTGTATCCATAGCTTGATCTGTGTTTGATCAAACATGTTTTAACCATTTGGCCACTCACTTCAACATCAGCATGTTTGGTCACCAAACAATGTTTGATGATGTTTGGTCGCCAAACATTTCCCGTTTGAACAGGCCTTAAAACCAATAACAAAGTTCAATTCAATTTTAACTTCTTATCACATGACAAATTTCAACGAATCTTTCAGCTACGTGTCCCGTTTACAGCCTACCATGATGGTTTAATAAGCGCCATTCCACCAAGCTGGAGACGCACAACCAAACGCACAGAAATCGCAATTGAAAATGAAAAAGCGTCACGAGAACCTCTTCTTTCTAAGAATTTCACCACCCGTGCTGTCTATGCAGCAATTATAGACCACTACTTCCAACCCCCAACTGCTGAACCAAAATTACTTCAATATGTTTCTCGAAAGAATGCTTAAAGAACGTTTATAACCTTCCCTTTGTTACCACGCTCGTAACAAAGCTTCAAATTTTTCAATATAAAATCATCCACAACATACTTCCAACTAGGCAGACCCTTTTCCGTATGAAGCTATGCGATTCTGAAATCTGTCAGCTATGCAAAATGCAACCGCAGCATTGCCTCACTTATTTTACCTTTGTTCTGTAATTTCCAATTTCTGGTCTACATTTCAAATTGGTGGTTTGAAAAACATAAAAACACAATAACACTCACCGAACGTAATATCCTTTTTGGTAGTCATGATAACACCACAGAATCAGAAGACATTTTACCTTGGTGGCCAAGTATTATATCTTTTGCACTATCCAAGACAGCGATGATGTACCCTTTGACGGCTTTCCTACTTTACTTAAGAACAAATTAAATACTTCACAACAAATAACAGTTAAAAATAAAACCTCCGAAAATTTCAACAAAAAGTGGAAAGACTTTATTTGAGTTTTTATTTTTTTCATTTTACTGACTTAGTTAAGTTATTAATTAATTTAATTAATTCTTAATTAATTTAATTACTTTTTAACTTGGTATTGTTTCCTACTCAAAATGTTGTACTTTGAATTAGTTTGTAATTCTCTTCTTTTGTGCGTTTTTTTTTGTAACACACACCATTACCTTCTGTATTATCTTTTGTATCTCCTTTAATTGTCCTATTGTAGTTCATGTTGTATCAATAAAAAAATAAAAATAAAAAAAAGTTCAATTCTCTGCCTTGTGATTGGTTGGTTCTTCCGCTTCTACTTCCGACTCCAGCAATCTAGTTTTCACTTGCTCATAAGCGACGGAGCCGTACATGACCGAATCGGAACAAAATGGAAACGTTCTTCAGACTCCGATTTCGTCGAGCTTATGCCTCCGCTTACTACTCTGATTTTCAATTTTCACTAGGTGAAAATTGTGAATTGTTTTCCTCCCAAAAAACGGTCTTCAGGATCTTTGAAATCGTTTTAACTTCGTTCTAGAATCTTCGCCATTTCGAGCGAAATTACTTGATCGCGCTGAAATCGTCATGTAGGCCGCGCGTATTGGAGTATCTTAGCTCAACTTACCGAAGAATTAACCAGGACCACTGTGCGCGCCTAGTTTCTTCAAATCGGGATCGATTCCCATACTACAGACAGATACTACCAATATTTCATTACTTCGTTATACGCGGCGGGTACTATTGATGCCTCCCTGGGTTTTGGCCTCTGGGCCAAAACCCTACGGGGGCAAAAATGTTCCCAGCCATGAAATAAAACAGAAGCCAAAAGCTGACATAGTGGCCAGACTTTCCAATTAGCTTTCTCCTTCACCTGCCTGTCTCCTTTCTGACTAAACGTCTCGATCGATTACTTCTTCCCTCTTCTAGTAATAACTGTTGAGGCGATCGCAAAAGGAGGTGAGCGGAGCCAAGACATGTTCCCGCCAAAAAGACCCCCAGTAGCCCCAAGAGTAAAAAGACGTAACCAACTTCAGTGTTATATATAGTCTTACCAGCAGGAACCAAAGAGTTTTTTTAAATATATAACCCGTCCGCAAGAATTTTCCCGAAGCAGTAAATCAAAGTCAGCTCATTACCCTAAGGGGGTTATGGCAAAAAGTGAAGTAAAACGTAATTCACCAACTAATCTTTTCAGCCATAAAAATGGAACTTTGTACCATCATGCGCCTATTTAGATTAGCGAAATTCATAAGCTTTAATTATTAATTGTAAATCAATAAGAACCTTTTCCAAACTTCAGAATTAGTTCCTTTCAAAATGGGTGTCTAAATGGCAAATTTCAAGCTGTAAAAAACCTACACATACGCCGGATTTTAATGTATTTCAGGCACAAGAACCATCTTTATTTTTTCCATTTTGTATCATTGAAGTCAACTCAGTGAATCGTGAGGTTACATGCGTGTTCTGTAGCCGAGTTAGACAGTCCAATATCAGCGACAATATGATGATAATTATTACCTATCTCTCCAACTTTACAGTAAACTGTGCTGCACCTTCTTTTATTACAGAAACAGGGTTTGAAAGCTTTTGATACATACAGGTTTTCTCAGGAGAAACAACGACAACGCTTTAAGACAATGGGCTCCCAATTTCTCTCCTCCAGAGAGCCTGAGTGTAGGTAATTAAAGTTTTGTATTAGTCAATATTGGTGATAAAATAACTATATTGGCGTTTGAGTGAAAATATTCACGCACAGCCGGCAGTAATGCGCAATTTTTGTCAAACTAAAGTTCAAGACAAAGCTTAAATGTAATGCCGGGCTAATTTTCGGTGCAAAGATTCCATAGGTACACGAATAGCGTAAAAATAAGACGGTCAAAAAAAAAAAAAAAGAGAAATTTTGACTGTGGTCAAAACAGGAAAAATTGTTTTAACCCATGCATGCGATAAAATTAGTTAATACTCTCGTTGAACGGTCCACCGTACTGGTCTGGTGTCTTGATTATTACTATAGCTAACTGCGTCTGCTAGATAGCTACAAGCAACGGAAATGAAAATCCGAAACTTATTCCACATTGCAGAGGAGAAGCCAATTAGTGACGGGACAAGTTGGAATCTTACTCTGCATTCAATTTTGTTTGAAAAGTGCACTGTAAACACAGGACCACTGTAAGGTAAAGTCTGCATACGAGCCAAGTGGCCGGTTTCTGTGGCATGAAGCGACTAGGAATATTTCTACTCCCCTCTGGTTGGGATGCTAGTCCAACGCAGGGCTACCCCAACATTAAATTCGTCGGTACCTTTTTGCACACCTCGGTTGAGAGGCGCACTGTGTGAGTAAAGTGTCTTGTCCAAGAACACAACACAATGTCCCCGGCCAGGGCTCGAACCCGGATCGCTCGATCTGGAGTCGAGCACACCAAACATGAGGCGCGCCTCCACTGTAGCATACAACAAAAGCTGAAATGAAATCAAATCAAGCTGAAATGAAATCAAGTGTCTTACCTTCAGTATGATTTGGTGATTACTCAGTCTCTTCTTGGAGTTCGTGCCCCGCCAACGTTAATATAAAATCGCTGTATAATCTGGAAGAAATAAAAAAGAACACAATTAGGGACCTTTATACGCTGAAACTCCATTGTTGATACTTAAAAGTTCCTTTTATTTGTTTTACTGGAGACGTAAAAAGATGCTCACAGTTCGGGGCGAAATTTTGCTGCCTAATGCTCGTATGACTTTTAGACCGTAAAACACGGTTGCAAAAACTGATATTGTTAACATATTGGCGTTCTGACTAAATTTGGATCATGAAGTGTAAAATCACTCCAAGAGAGAAAAAGGTCGGACTTATAAAAGGTAGGCTTATAAAATTTGGCAAAGGGCAAAATCTTCTCAAGGCACTGTAATCGTAAGAGTAACCGATTTTGTCCCGTACACCTTTGCGTTGGGAAATAAGTGACGTAGAGGGAAGAAGAAACGTTTTGGCGTTCGTTGGGCACATAACCCTATTCAATAGATCACTATAATAATAATAATAATAATAATAATAATAACAATAATAATAATAATAATAATAATCGTATCTATAACGAAATTCTCGATCGTTATTGGTTCTCCACGCGTCTATTTGCCACGTAATCGGCGCGCGATCACGTGGGTGTCCAATTACAGGTATCCAATTTGAACTTTTTGTAATTGGACACCTGTAATTGGATACCCAAGTGATTCGGACGTCAATTGCGCGCGCTTTAATGGTTTTGTTTGTAATGTTTCCTACAGTTTTCAAAACTTATGAAATGCGCTACATACGTTTTCCCTCAAAAGAAGTTCTCAAGCCATTTTTAATTCCGAAATTTGTTATAGATACGATTAATTAGTAATGGACCTCATGTCGTACAATTCAGGGAGTAATCGTGCTTATAATTACAAATCGGCCTCGCGCTTCGCGCTAGTCCGATTTTCAAATTACTCGCGCGATTACTCCTTGAATTGTACTCTACTCGGTCCAATTACTACGACGACGACGACGACGACGACTACTACTACTACTACTACCACTACGACGACGACGACGACTACGACTACGACTAAAACTACGACTGCGACTACGACTACGACTACTACTACGACTATTACGACTATTACTACTACTACTACTACTACTACTACTACTACTACTACTACTACTGCTACTGCTACTGCTACTGCTACTGCTACTGCTACTGCTACTGCTA